TATTGCTCTCGAAGGATTTTGGTTGTGGTTATATTGAATCGTCTTGGAATGTCCAAAGCTCAGTCTGATCGGCTTTGTCGGCTCCCTCGGATTCTGTGATCAATCTTCAAGCTCGGGTCCTGATTAGCTTTTGAAGTCACCTCTGAGCGCGGTCTTGATTGGCTCCAAGGATTTTGGTTGTGTTGATTTGTCATCTGGACAACGTCCAAAGCTCAGTCTGATCGGCTTTGTCGGCTCTCGTCGGATCTGTGATCAACTTCAAAAAGCTCGGTCTGATTGGCTTTGAAGTCACCTCCGAAGCCGCGGTCTGATGGCTTGAAGGATTTTGGTTTGACTTGATCATCGGTCCACCTCCTAGCTCAGTTTGACCGGCTTTGTCGGCTTCCGTCGAATCTTGATCATCTCCAAAAGCTCGGTTGATTGCTTTGAAGACACTCCTCAACTCGTTTGATTGGCTTTTAGAGGATTTTGTCGAATTTGTGATCATCTCCAAAGCTCGGTTTGATTGGCTTTGAAGAAAACCTCCGAGGCTCCGGTTTGGGATCGGCCTGAAGGATTTTGGTGAATTTGTGGATCATCCTCCAAAGCTCGGTTTGATTGGCCTTGAAGACCCTCCGAGCCGGTTTGGATCGGCCTGAAGGAAATTTGGGTGAATTTTGGTGATCATCTCCCAAGCATCGTTTGATTGGCCTTGAAACACCTCTCAGCTCAGTTTAATCGCTTTTAGAGGATTTTGTCGAATTTGTGATCATCCCAAAGCTCGTCTGATTGGCTTTGAAAGTTACCTCCGAAACTCAGTCCTGATTGCTCGAAGAATTTTTGTTTCCAAAGCTCGGTCTAATCGGTGTCGTTCACCGTCTTCAGCTCAGTCTGATCGTCTTTAGAGGGTTTGGTTGAGTGACTTGAAAGGCTTCAGTTGGACTACATAGCGTTCTGAGCGTCCAACGGTCATCTGGTCAAGTCCAAGGTTCACATTTTTTTAAAGGGCAATTTCTGTATACAAAAGAATTTGTCTTATGGGTCCAAAACGGCTTTCGGGAACCGATCACCTGTTGGCCGAAAATATTTTCCAAAAGAGAGGACCCAAATTTTTTGTATACAAACAGATCTTGCCCATTTGTTAATTGTTGGAGCATCACATACCCATGTAATCATAATCGTAAATTTTGAAAATTTTGAAATTTTTGGCATCAAGGACAAGAAAGATTTTATTTTTGCCCCAGTTTGGAATTCCGTCCCGAGGACCAAAAGAATACTATCTTTTAAGTACTTGAAAACTTTATTTTTCTTTTCCTTTTTTTTTTTTTTTGCCTTTTGATTTGATTTTTTTTTTTAAAAAAAATTTTATTTCACTTTCTTTGCAGCTAAGATTTTGTTACATTTTTTCCAGGTATACTTTTCCTGATGCGTGTTCGAGAGAACACTTACCTGAGGGTAAATTTGGTAGACTTGGTGATTTTGCCCCTTGTGTGGCGAGAGCCGCAACACCGCCACTCCATGTCGCAAGAAGTGGTCCACCTGCGATGAGGGTCCATCCTTTAATCCGGGAGCATTTGTTATCTTTTTCTCTTTTTTTATTTTTTTTTTGTTTGATGCTTGTGCATGGCGGAATCTGCATCTTATCGCCCACCGAAAGCTAGATGCTAGCCCACTGGTGATGAGTAATTCATTTCAAACTCGTGGGCCTTTCCCTCTTATAAGTAGGAATCCATGCTTTCATTCTTTCCTCATCCATAGCATGAAATGACTTTTCTCCCATGGCTTTCAGAACCAAGTTTCGTCCTCGTCCATCCATGTCCTGACGACTATGCAGATTCCCCCCATGACCAACTCGCTTGCTGAAAATATTTTCAAAGACTAAACTCAGACCAATAGTTTCTGTCTGCTCGTCACGTATCTTTTCAAACCCAACACATGGTCTTTTTTCGTTTGAAGATGCTGAAGTAACTCCCGACTTATGAGGAAATATGTGATTGATGGGTCAATCACCCTGAACAAGATGAAAACTGCAATGAGCTTTTGGGCCCCAAACCCTAGACCATGATTAGCTTGAGATTAGCCCGTGTCAGTTTACCGTATTCCTACAGCATAAGATCTGCGATCAAGGCCTTCCATTAGAAGCTTTTCTGAGTAGGTTTCTGTCCATGGATAGATCCCTTTTTTGGATTTCGATAGCTTTTTGTTTGTTTCTGTTTTGATATATGTAACGAATGAAGAATCGTCGACTCGAAATTGGAGATTTTCGCCTGCTGACCCGTTTGTTCGTGACATGCAAATGTATCATCGCACCGTCTTCCAGATGATCATGGGGGAAACGAGTGCTGGGTCAGGGATTGCCTTCATACGTCAACTAACTTTAATGTTCACTCCATCGTGGGTTGTCTGATGTTGTTGCAAACCTGGCTTTAGACAAGTTAAGCCCTGATTTCTCCGATCCCATTGTTTGATCCAACCGGCCCTCCTGCCCATTTTCGGTCTCGGTCCCGAGGACACTTTGATTTTGGGGATAACCCTGTGATTCGGTGGACTTGTCTTTGGTGGAGGATTAGACTGGTCACTGGTGGAAGCATGAATCTCCATTATGTGTTGTACGCCAGTCTAGACCGTTCCATGGCCTATTTCCCAGATAGGATCAGCCGTTAATACGGTATGATACAGCGCGTTCCCAGAATCCATAACTTTGAAAGTGGTTTCATGATGCAGAGTCTATTGACCAATTTGGCTGACCGTTGGCGAAACCGCAACACTTGGTACCTGGGTCAAGGGGTGATGCAGGACACTGTGACACCCGAATACGTCAACTGGTTTTACACCCAGTGATGATATTAGGTTCTGAAAAGACCGAAAAGACCGGCGTTTGACGATAACCCTTACTGGAATAAATGCTGTTGTTGTTTCTTTTTTGCATTTTCTTGTATTCCAGGGCCATGAGCTCCTACTTAATGTATCCCTCTTTTCAATTAATGACTCCGATGTTCTGTCTTTATTAATTCCTGCTTTCTGCACACATGGACAACAAAAGACAACAAATATTTTCCTTCGAAATTATTTGTTGTGTTAGTCACTGGGGCCTCCTGCCCTTGGGTCAATAAATGAAAACCCATAAAAACAAATGATTTGATTTAAAGACAGAAGTTTACATTTGGAAATAAAAAGATGGGGTGACCATTTTTATTACCTGCATAGATCAACCAAAAAGAAAAAAAAAAAAAAAAAAAAAACAACATATGTGTAACTTCTTTATGTATGCATGAACCTATGGAGCACTAAGGTTCTATCCATGGTTTTTTTATCGATCTTTCCAAGGAAATCACTGAGAAAATGGTATTCGTTCTCCTGATCGATGTTTAACAGAATTCATCATTTAGGCAAGACCAACAACTAGAACATTTTCAAAATAGATGAGTTGATCTTGATCAGATAAGCAGAGAGGGAGGTCTTGCATTCCTTAATCATCCTTAATCATATCCCCGAAACAAAAGGAAGAAAAATTTTGAAATTCAAGCCCTTTATTAATCTTACTTCTTTCAACATTATACAGAAGTAAGGAAAACTATTTCAATACAATGGTCATTTATTCTAACTACTCATTTACCTATCCTCCTTCAAGTCAAGTTGATGGCATTGAGCAACCAATCACAAATCTATCACGAACGCACGACATAGATTTCGCATTTAAACTAAGCACCACGCGTTAATCCCGAAAGTAATTTTTCTTTTTCCTTTCTCTTTTATGCTCTAACTTTTGCCTAGGCCGCCCTTTCGGGTTTTCAACCTAGTGAACTCATTTCTTGCCTAGGCCGCCCTTTCGGGTTTTCAACCCTTCTTTTTTTTTTTTTTTAAATCGAAATCATCATTTCAGACGTAGAATTTCAGCGTAGAATCTTTCATTCCTGATCCTGATTGACATCGATTCTGACAGGCCTCACTTCCATGGTGACTTAATTCAGGCGGCAACTTTAGCTAATGAGCTTCTTAAATTCGATGGTCATGCAGTTGGGTCTGAATCATTCCCACCAGCGATGATTTGGCTTTCAATGGTCCAATCAACTTTGATCAAACCAAATTCCATTCTTTAAAGCCCTTGGATGTACCCGGTTCTTGTTGTAGAAAACGAAGCAATCTTCTCTTTTCTCATCTGATCCTGGAATCGAGCGTTCAATTTCCTTCCATCTAAGAGCGTCAGATCTTCATACCTTTTCTTGACCCATTCTTCTTCGGTCAGACCAACTTCTATAAGAACTCTGAGCGACTTCTTTTCGAGCTCTATCGGTAACACTGGTTCCATCCCATATACAAGTTCAAAGGGAGAAGCTCCGTTTACTGATTTGAAAGTAGTGCGATGCCCCCAGAGCGCGAAAGGAAGTTTCTCAGCCCAGCTTCTATACCTCTCGCACATCTTGGATAGGATTCTTTTAATCTCCTTATTCGCGGCTTCCACTGCACCATTAGCTTGAGGGCGATAAGGGGAAGAATGATGATGCTCAACCTGATGCTCACCTTAATCTCTAATGAGCAACTGGGCCAACATCTGCTTGAAAATGGAACCATTTGTCTGTAACTATGTGATGGGGAACACCAATAGCGACAGAAAATGTTCTGTTCAAATGAATCCACCACATGCTTAGCGGTCAATTTTTTGTAGGATTGAGCTCGATCCACATAAAAAAGTAGTGTTACTGCAACCAAGAAATGTATTGATGACCATCTCGATGCTGCTGGTGTGATTTTCGCCGATGATATCTATACCCCTGCAGAAAGGCCAAGAAGGAGCTGTCGGATGGAGTTAACAGCAGGCAAGTGCTTTTTATTATCATGGTAGTGGACACTTTTACAATGACGTCATATTCCACAATACTTCCAGTCCAAAAATAACCTTGCCTCATGATTTTTCTGGCCAAACTCATGCCGCTCAAATGAGTACCGCAGACTCCTTCATGAACTTTCTTCATTATTTCTTCACCCTCCTTTTTACTTACGCATCTTAGCAGCATCCCGTCCTAAGACCTCCTATAAAGTTCACCATCAGCCAGGACATAATTCAAAGCCATTTTTCTTAGAACCGAACGATCATCCTTCGTCGCATCATCAGAAAAAGTTTCGTCTTTCATATACCGCAGGATATCCATAAACCAGGGTTCTTCTTTTGACTCCACCTGATTCACAAAATGTTCTTCGTAGCACGGGACATTTGTCGTGGTAATGATGAATGGCTTCTTTGGGACTTTACTTAAATCTTGCCAAGCTGATGCTAGGTTTGCCAAGGCATCCGAAATTCTATTATGGATTCTTCCTATGTGAGTGAAGGTGATCTTATCAAAGAGTGCTGCCTTTTTCAACAAATACTCAACATAGGGCTTCAATCTTTCTTCTTGCACTTTCCATCTCTCATTAGCGTGTTCAATAACCAACAACGAATCTCCTATCACCTCGACTTCTTTAGCACCTGATGCCAGAAGAGCCTCCATTCCCATGATGCATGCTTCATATTCGGCCATATTCATGCTTCATATCGGCCATATTTTGGGACCGCGGGAACAACAATCTTATTGCACATTTGTTGTAACCTCGCCATTGGGTGCTTCTATTACGATACCGGCTCCGGCTCCGTTTCTATTGGCTGATCCATCAAAGTACAATTTCCAAGCTCCTGTTTCAACACACAACAAGTGTTCATCTGGAAACTTCAATTACCATGATTCGTCATCTACAACGGGATTTTCAGCCAGGAATTCTGCCACAACTCGTCGTTTGATCGTTTTCTTCGTGACAAACTCTGCTTCCACACTAGACATCTGAATTAACCATTTGGACAGCCGCCCTTTGTGAACCCTCCCCGAAGGCAAAATTGTGCTAGAACGAGGTATGCTCACATGTGTGTTTGATGAAGTCGCTACCTAGTTTATTTTTATAAGGGAAAACTAAGAAAGAACCCTAAATGACTCCAATTTTAATTAACCTAAGTCTAGATTAATTACCCCAAAGTTTAAGGCAATATACGAACACGAGGTGGATCCGAGACTATATCATCTGATCTAACTAACCTAAGTGTAAAATGCTTTGCTCAAGGTAATCGCAAATTGGACAGTAATAGGTGTTCTTTTGCGATTTCGCACTTGCGCTCGGGTTAAATCCCGAACGTGACCCTATGTACTCTCATTCTGAACTGAGAACGATCAAAGCCGACGTAAAGTTTCGATAAAGCATATTCCAAAAGCCTTTTGAAGGGGTATGCTTTATGCATGGAGTGTGTGTATGCTTCGTTGCGTTTTTTAGGCATTTTGCCAAAAGATTGATATGATTTTCCCCTGTTTAGGCATTTGTTGCCAAAAGGTCTTGATGGGCCAATTTTATTGCCAAAAATTGATGTTTCGGTATTCGTTGCCAAAAATGTTGGTTAAACGGCATATTGTGCCAAAAGTTATATTGATTAGGCACATTGTTGCAAAAGATTGGTTTTAGGCGATTCGTCGCCAATGATAAGGGGCATTTGGTGCCAAAAGGGGTTTGTTGGGCGATTTGTCCGCCAAATGATTAAGGCCATTTCATGCGAAAGATGATATGTAATTTAGGCAATTTAATTGCCAAAGAAAAAGTGGATATTTGGCGATTCTGTCCCGCCAAAAAAGGTCGATTATTTGAATTATAGCAATTTGCTGGCCAAAGCGATCGATTAAAACCGTAGTGCAATTTGATTGCCAAAACGCTGTTGATTAAACTGTTAGGCATTTTGTTGCCAAAAACGCGATTCGATAAGGCTTTCTTAGCCACAATTTATTGATTAAATTGGACCCTTTTAGCCGAATGTTCCGAAATACAAGGCAAATTACATCGTAGTGTTTATTAAAACTAGGAACCTTTTAGCCAATATGTTCGGCAGTTTTCAGCATTAACCCACGATTATGGATTAACCGGGCATTCTGCGCTAAACTATTACTTAACGGCAAGTTTGCTTGCCAAAACTGACGACGGGGTGAATGCAATTATTTAATTAGAAATTTAGAGTAGAAGAGAATATGCACAAGATGCATGAAATTTAAAAATGGCAGAGTTTCGTTTATTCCCCTGAGTTAACCGACGGTCCGCTTATTAGCTCAGTTTTGAAAATTCCAGATTAAGCTCCTCAGTTTGGGAATATTAATTAAAATTAAGTCAATTAGTGACCAAATATCACCAACAGCAGAGTATAAAAAGGCCTACACTAAATGCAGAAAAGCAAGTAGAAGACCGCAAGGAGCATAAGGAGGAAGATCACCGAGCAGTCCGTCAACACAGAACTGAGTGAGTCAAACCTGTCGATTCGGGGCTGTATTATAAGGAAAAACTAGGCTGGAGGGCGACTGCCGCCCACCGAGGACGGCGGGGCTTGCGCCCGTCAGCACGGCGTCTGCTAATCACCCCTATCCTGTCCACTCGCTATTTTTTTCTTCCAAACGGTTTTTTTCGGGAGTTTCGTACCTCCCAAAATATTCCGAAGAGCTAGTTCTGGCGATCCTGTGATTTTCCAAAACGTTTCAAGTACCATATTGGCATACTTTCGGTGAACTTTTCCGAATGGCGCTTCGGTCGGCACGGACTGTTTGCATCCAGGAAAAACAGGCTTTTTGAGCCTCAAAACTTTTGAGTATTCACACCCTTCTTAGAAGTAGGCGTTCTCCGCAGATATCTTCATAGGATCAATTTTAAGAAACGAAAGTGACCTACAAGGAATCAAAGTAAGGCCTCAATTTCTTTATCGAACCATACACTGCCAATTACCATGTTTTTCTCTACCACATTGTTACTTCTCACTTGATAGGAAGTAGTTTTCTTTGGCTGATCGTACATAAGATGGCTTTTATATCCTAGCAGGCATCCGGCTGTGCCCATTGCTCCAATCCTGCATCCTCTATAGACAATAACATGGATCAGCGGTTCTCCTGGTCTAGGCGAAAGCTCAAGCACTGGTGGTCATCAATACTTCTTATGTGATCAAGGCTTTTCTGGCAGTCCTCATTCCATTTAACTGTCTGAACTCTTCTTAAGTAGCTTAAAGATCGGAAGCACAAGTGATGGATAGCCCTAGAAATTAAACCTGCTGAATAACTGAATTTTACCCAGAAGCTTCTCACCTGACGTTCTGTTCTTGGCGGTTTCGCATGTCTGAGTGGCTTTTATTTGTCGGGGTCACCTCATCCCGTTAGGCTACAACAAACCTAACAACTTCCTTTTTGTTACTCCCGAACTACGCACTATTCTTTTTAGGATTGAGTCTTAAATTGTACTGTTTGACCCGCGTGAAGAACTTTTCCAACATCTCCATATGTTCTTCTTGTGTTTTTGTCATGATTACCATGTCATCCACATATACTTCCAATCCTTTATAGATCATGTCATGAAATAATGTTGTAGCCATTCTCTGGTATGTCGCCCCAGCGTTCTTCAGTCCAAACGGCATCACTCTATAGCAGAAAGTCCCAAAATCCGTGGTAAAGGCAGTCTTATGCTTGTCAACTAAGGCCATCAAGATTTGGTTGTATCCGGAGAATCCGTCCAAGATAGAATAACATCCCATTCCGGCAGCACTGTCAATCAAAACATCTATATGCGGAAGTGGAAAGTCATCTTTGGGCGAGGCTTTGTTTAGGTTCCTGTAGTCAACACAAACCCTTATCCTCCCATCTTTCTTCAGCACAGGGACTATATTGGCCAGCCATTCCGGATAATGTACTACTTCTAAGAATCCTATCTGCATCCAACTGCTTCTGGATCTTCAGCTTTGATCTTATACTGCATCTTCCTGTGTACTAACCCACGTCTCCTCTTCTGCTTCACTGGCTTAATAACTTGATCAGTAGGAATGAAAATTTTCTGCGATTGATCTGTCGAATTCCTGGCAAGTCAGCGTCGCTCAGGAAAATTATCTCTGAATTTCTCTGATACATTCTTGAAGATCTGTTAAGTTCAGGTTTAAAGTCCGATCCGATTTCGATTATCTTACGGATCTCATGGTGCTTCAAGTTTAAATGCAAATGATGCATGTATTTATGTCCAATATGCGCGTGTAATGTAACTGCCATACAACCGTGACAACAGGAAAAAATAGAAAACCAAATAGTTCAAAGTCACTCCATTGATTGAAATACATAAAGCGGAAACCATCCAAATTGTTCTCCAAAAGAAACATCAGAAAAAACAAAAGAACAGGATTAATAGCCCTGCCTCAATACATTCCATCACAAGTGTTCTATTATTGCTTGGACTTACTTTCATTGCATCTGCCATCTTCTTTGGCTTCCGGGGTAGCTTCTGCTTTGGCTCTCCATGTCTGCATCTTCATCACCTTATCCCTCTGCTTCTTCGGGCAATCTTCAGCAGATAGTTACCTCTGAGGATCCCGTGCCTTGGCTTTCTGCTCTTGCAACTTGGCTTTCTGCTCTTGCACCATCTTGGAAGCTTCATCCCCAATCCCTAAGAAGTCTTCAAATTCGGATATCTTCTTCGACCATTCAGTTTCAGTGCCTACTTGTACCATACCCACCATGAATTCGGTGCCTTCAACCAGCTGTTCAAAGGAAGGTTCAGGAGACTGGATCAACTGTTCAGCAAAGTCTGTCATGAAAATTTCCAGGCCAGGGTAAATCTTCCCTCTACTCTGAAATTCCCCCGAAGCCTCTGAGACAAAGAAGATCTGATTCAGATTTGGCTCTCTAATCGGAGACTGGATCTCATACTTCTCCTTCTTTCTGTTCTCGGAATATCCCAGCCCACGTCTGTCTTGTTGTCCATATGCTGATGAGATTGGTTCAAACCTTCCTTGTAGCTCCCGGCCTAGCCCTTTGCCATACTGCCACTGCATCTTTTTCATCATTTTCCTAGAAAAAGGGCTCATCCTGTTCACTGCACTCCATACTGCCACTGCATCTTTTTCATCATTTTCCTAGAAAAAGGGCTCATCCTGTTCACTGCACTCTTACTCTCATTAGTTGGCACATCAATCACAGCCACTTGGAAACCAGACAAAGGCATCGCCACCTCCAAGCCTTCTACTGTTGCCACATTCAAATCTTCTTGAGCGTTGATGGTTACCACATTCGTACCCCATGGAACTTTCACTTTTCTGTGCAAGGTTGACGGGATTGCACCTAGAGGGTGAAGCCATGGCCTCCCCAACAACAGAGCATAGTTGGACAGAATGTCCAGAACAACCACATCCACCCAACTCTCTATAGCCCCTGTGGATATCTTTGCTCTGAAGGTTACTTTTGCGTTGCGCTTGGTATTATCATATGCTTTGACCACCATGTTAGATGGTTCAAGTTCTGACTCCTCAATTTTGAACTTGGATAGCATCTTCAATGGGCACACACACAAAGGGGCACACACACAAAGCGACCCATTGTCACCATTACATGCGGGTTACGCGCCCCTGACAGGCAATCTGAATGTATAAGGGCTTGAAGTGGTTTCTTCCTTCTTGGCGGCCGAGGTCCGAATCAAAGAAAGTTGATTCTCGCCA